TGACCCCTCTGGATGGTAAAGATTCTTCTTTCGTGTCGGTACGACTGACTGGTACACTAACAGACTGATATGTAGATGAATCGGGGTTGTACAGTCTTCTTGAATTAAATCTTTCCGACTTGGTGTTTACCATGCTCTTTTCGAGTCTAATTCTTTCCTTGTCCACAGGGTCTGCATATTGACATAACGAATTAAAGTCAGGGAGCAAGTGTAATTGGGCAAAGACAGCCAGCTTAAGTTGTCGATTCATTTTTTCATAGAGCTGATCTTTTCTCATTGAATGGTGGATTTTTGCCTTTCCTGCTAGAGAAATAAATCTAGTCTTGAAATCTTGAAAAGACTCAGCAGATCCCTGCCGCAGAGCTTCGAATTTAACCATACTGTCACGCTGGAGAGTGCTACTTCGATATGTAGCAATCAGATGATTGACCATTTGGACAGAGTTGACAAAGTCATTTTCAGGATCCTCCCCGGTAAAGTAAGGCCCAAGTAATTCTTGTGCGTCGTCTTTAGTCGAAGCGAAGATGAAGTTCATTATGCGATCGTCAGAGCCCCAATGTCCTTCGTTATCCCTTATCTTTCCTCTCAGCAAAATCAACCAGTTTTCAAAAAACTTCAAATCATTGGAGCCCCCAAACTCGCGAAAAGGGTCAATCTTTCGGTCGGCCACTCCAAGAAATGCATTTCCATACGTTTGTCCGACACTTTCTGATTGATCTCGATATTTTGCAAACGGAGGGCCTTGGTAGTTGGGCTCTTCGCTACTTCGGAGTTTAAAGGGAGCTGTTGATGTACGATTTTTGTATTCCGAAGTAGTGCTTTGCGCAACGTGTTGCTGTCTTTGCTGAGGATTGTAGTTGCTACTTTTCTTCATTTCCTCGAGATAATCGCCTCTTGTGGGTATTTTCCCTTTAGGCTCACGCGAATGGGGAAAATATGTGTATTGTGTGTTCCTTTGGGGTGGAATTTCTTCGTCAATATCTTCCATTAATCCTGTATTTTGAGGGTGGAAGGCTGTGTGGCTTTTTTGCCTATGCTCCTGGTATACCCCGCCTTGTGAGCTTTCCATGTCGAGTTGACTTTCCATGAGTTTTTCCAATCTGTCTAATTTTTCCCGGAGAAAGTTAATCTCCTCCTGCTGATGTATGTTGGTGCGTTCCATACTATAATGCCTACTAGTTTGCCTGTAGGCATTATCAACAATAGCATCCGCCATTTCCTTCCCAATTTTGTTTTGAGTTATTGTCAACTCTTCCACCTTCCGATCAACTTCAGATATACGAGGCTTATTTTTTCGACGACCAATGTATGGGGCATTGATGGTGGATAGTAGTTCGTTTTCCCCTAAATCTTCTTGGTAGGCTATATCGAGTTCGTGCTCGGCATGAGGTGATGGAGGCTGCTGGACAAGAGAGTCGGATTTTTTTTTTTGAGTGGTATTGGGCATGATGAAGTACTAGAGTATTTTTGATGTGAGTGACTGTTTTGAGTGTATATTTATGACTGAAAAAAAACTTTATCTCGAGAGTGGGAAAATAAACTTAGCCACAATATCGTATGCTTTTATTATTCCCTGAAATTGCACTTTTAACAATTAAATGTTATGGCAAGTTTCACCGCAATCTTTTATTTACTTAGAAACTGCTAAATCTCAGTCTCAATGAGATTAGGAAATTGTAATGCCTTCCCAGGCGTTGACGTGAGTTTAGAATAATGTGAGAGCCGTAGGAGATCACAGGTTAACAAATGACAAAGTCGAATTGGATAAAGACTATATTCAAAAGATTCTAAACTAAAGAGTAAAAGGGAAGGGAAAGTATCTAGAGATCTACAACTCTACATTATCTACGCTGGTCTGTGCGCTACAAACAAAGAACTCTAGCAATATCTTATGTGAAGTGAATGTAATGTGGATATAACAACCCTATCTAATGATCTAGGGTGGAACCGTCACAGCTACAGCAGCGACAGCTCCGAAATGCAGCCAGAATCCGCAGACTCGACAGCTATCACCCTTTGTTGTCAAGGGCAGCTGAGACACCAAAGGAAGCAATTAAGCGACTCAAACTGAGAGAGGGGCAAAAAGATCGTGTCTTCAAGTTTCCAGAGCGATATCTGACACGCCTTCAGAATGGTAACCTCAACCTACCGGCATCAGAAGCGCCTGGACAGCTTTACCAACCGATGATCGCGAGGGCTATGGCTAGAGCCGAATGCGACAAGGAGGAAAAGTCGAAGCGGACTAATCATTGGCTTAGAAATATCCCTGTAGGGACGCTGTGTGTATATTCTGATGGGTCATTGACTGGTCCAGCATACTCAGCCTATGGCTATGCTATATACAGGGACAGAGAACTCATAGCGAGTGGTGGAAATTTTCTCCCAGGAGCAGAGGTCTTTGATGCAGAAATCGACGGGGTAGTTCGAGGCCTAGAAGCGGCGTCGGAAATTGGAGGTAGTATAGGTATCAAGGTGCTCCTCGACAATCAAGAGGCGGTAAGAGCCCTTGTGAGTGGTAGAACGAGCTCTTCACAGTCTGAGGTCCGGAATTTTATTGAACTATCCAAGGCTCAGCCTGCCGTAGAAGTCCACTGGGTTCCGGGACACAGTGGTGTTGAAGGGAACGATAAAGCCGACGCAATTGCAAAGGCAGCCCTTGCATCAAAAACCAGGGAAGGAAATATCCCGAGGCCAGAGTGCAGTCAGGAGGAATCTGACAAAGTCCTGACATTCGCAGCACTTAAACTCCAAGTCACAATACGAGTACAGAAACTCGCGGAAGATTGGTGGCATAAAAATAGATCGGACAGGTATGAAGATCTGGACTTACTGATGCGAACAAAACGCCCTCCGGAGCTAGCTTTACCTCGATGGGCATATCACCGCCTCATTTCGGCAAGGACTGGGCATGGTGATTTCGCTAGCTATCACAGACGATTTCAACATCCGAATGAAGAAATGCGATGCAAATGCGGACGAGAGAAACGGCCATGGCATTTTGCAGAGTGTCGCCCGACCATCCAGAAATGGAGGGCGGAAACGATGGAACCACGACCTACGACAAGGGATATGATAGGGCAAGAAGGAAGGCAGATATTCTGGCACTTTCTAACTGTAACAAAATGTTACAGCAAAATTGAATCATAAACAGGGAACTTGAATGTCAGCTGTATTGCTTCTTAGGGCCGCTCAGTGTGGCACGAGGATGGAGGTGTAGTGCAGGGCGCTAGCACCTCAGAAATGGTGTTTTTTCTTTTTATTTGTTTTGTTTCTGTATTTCTGGCTCCTATGAACCAATCATGTAGGTAGCGAAGAGTCATATAGATCTGGACTACCCGTGCCATGCCCCCCGGGTGCTGGGTCAGTACCCGGTCACGATAAAAATATCATCATCATCTTCATTTATTATTTCCAGTTACGCTATACCCGATTAGGCAGCCCCACCAAGTTACCCTTTATATTATGAATTACATATTTAGGTAGTCTTGCCATCAATTATGCCGTGAATATTAGGGGCTGAGTTGACTATAATGGCTAGTTTCATCCTAGCATCTCCAGCTAGCCACTGCTTTCTCATTTCAAATGCCTCTTTATTCGAAATTCTTTCTTTAATGGACATATGTGAGGGTTCTTCCACTTCATCACATTCGTAGTCCTCCAATTTGTTAGCTAGAGCAATGTTCTCCATGTTGTTCTTCCGTTGCTCGTAGTTTTCCTCTCCCTTCAACTTGAAATAAGGTGGCAACTAATGTGTAGTGACATTTCCCACAGTATTTATCGGAATACCTAAACACGGTGCAAAGAACGTAAGCTGTATGTCACACTTCTGCGGTTGTGTTGGTGGATCTTGTCTATTCTCCTATTCTACAAAAGAAACTATTACTCATAATGAACAATGACTAATCTATCATTGTGAGGTTAAAGATCGAGAGGGATTTTGGGCTGTTGGAGAGGAAGGAAGAGTGGTATTCGAGCACAGGAGCAGGTAAACGGGGCTTTAGATGTAAAGCTGTGGAGTTGACGAGGGGAGCGATGAATATAGCCTTCAGAGATATTCAGTTAATACAATGAACTGAAGATCTCGGGAGGTAGGAGAGACTACATCTATATACAGGAATCAAACTTGGTATGACTAAAGTTGGGGGGTTGATGAGGTACGTGCCAGTGTCTCAACTTGACAACATTATCCAAATGATGTTTTAGCCTTGTGTTTTGGAGAACCCCCGCGACTAAGACAAGAAATAGACGTGACTACATTAAACATGGAATCTAGTTACAAGTGAATTAAGAGTTACATATAGTAGTGCATAGACAGAGATCCTGCATCGATACTGATGCAGAACTGATTTATTATAACATCTATGACCAACATTGGAAAGTGAGGTCAGGACATTTATACCAACAGTATTTAAGGAAGCCTTGGGTTGACTTCACACAGGCGTTATGCTTGACTTAAGCTTCTCCTCAATCTTTGGGACCATCTTGAAACTTTCGAATTTTCGACAAACATTGCGCCTTTTCGAATAATTAACAATTTCAAGTTTAAAAAATCCTTTGACCTGTTAGCCTTTGCTACCAGACTCAGAACCTGTTGAATATTTATGCGACAGTGGAATTAAGAGTATACTTCATACCAGCTCTTGATTCAGCTGCGTGTGGATACTTATTCTCGAAGTCTCATTACAATAAGATTCTATATAGAATGTAGTTATTGTTACCTTAGTTAATACAAATATGTTACGCATGTTCTACAACTACAGAAATTGTGGAAGTCTGAGCGAGACACGAGATACAAGTACAGAGATATCACATGACTTCCAAAAAATACCTATCTTTCATTTGATCCAGCAATAATTACGAGAAAGATAAACTTGGGAATTTTGCCTAGTAGGGAAATGAAAACTATCCGATAGTACGTTTCCTTCAGCTTATAGACTGTGCTTTTGTTGGTGTATTAGTCTATACCTCGCTAGTTAGCAGTTTGCCAACATGCTATCACACTACAAAGCTTTATCATCAGGCCGCTTACTCAATTGATTTTCATTTAGCTCTTTTGTTACTGAGTTTTGCATATGAGGTTCAGGTTCCGTAGGTGTCGCATTTTCAGGCTGTTTCCATTGTGATCTATGGGAATGGTCAGTATCTACAATAAGAATTATCGACAATTATTTGAAGGTTTCAGATGCGTCGCTTCAGCATCTTTTATGAAACGAGAAAATATTATTAATAAAAGATATAGCAGATTCCTTCACTCACATTTTCAATGCCTCGATAGCTCTATCGAACGCCGCAATGATTGGTTCGTATAGTTTGTTGGGGTCCTCAAGATTTCCTGTTCGCGTCTTTATATTTGAATTAAATATTAAGTCCCTGAATTCCTCAGCTAGAACCTTGACATCATCAAACATCGGCGAAAATTTAAACAATACTTTTTCGAAGCTACCTAGAGTCATGTAGTATTCCTTATGTAAGTGTATTTCTTGGGCGGTCCCTGTGTACCATTTTGATAGGAAAACTTCATGCGGGTTTGTGCCTTTATTCCATCCACAGTTAATGCAGACCCAGATTAAGACATACAAGAACGACTCGAGATCATGTCGGTAAGTGTGGTTGACCACTGCACCCGTCGTCGCAAAGCTGTTACTCAAAATGTCCAGTGCAATAAATTGCATCGTGCCTGTCACCACTCGATCCTTTTCTTGAACTTTTCCATCTTTCAACAATGTTGCCAAGTCCAGATCTATCAAGACACCACCCAGCTTGTCACTCGTCTCAATGCCAGTCAATAGAATATTATTCACCGAGATGTCGCGATGTAATATCTTAGCGTCCATCAGTAATGACCGATGCGCCTTGATGGCATCGCTAATCCCGATGATCAGTTCTAGCGCCGATCTAAACTTATCAATCGGCCGCCTGTAAGGCGAGATCCCGGCAGCGGTAAATTGACGGTCACGTGGAATAATGACTTCAGTGTTTACCATTTTTACCGCTTTCGTACTACATGATCTAGCATTGGCACTTGACTTTGGTGGATTTGGAGCCTTTTCAGGGAGTGAGCTTGGTCCCGCAGAATTATTCATCGCAATTAAGCCGGCGTTACTTGACAGTTGAACTCTCTTCAATCTGTCGTTTACTTCGGCATCATCGGCAGTTTTCCTTTTACCGGAAGATTGATTGACTGAATAAGCAGAGCCTTCCACGATCATTGCCCTGCCAGAGTTTGGAATTTTGAGCGCCTGCAATGAGGAAACAGGTGGATTCAACTCCGTAACTTGTTGGGTCACGGTTGTATCTGTGTTGTAATTAGTAAGAACTTCCATTTCCACGTAATGATTTTGCCTACTTTCTTGCATTGATCGCGCTTTTTTAATTGATCCAGCCATCTCTTTTTCAGCTTGAAGTGCCTCCCTCTTTCGCTTTCGGCTCAGTTGGTTATTCACGCTTTCCTTCGGAATCCGTATCATCTCTCCACTTAAGTCGTATGGCGTAGTCATGATCTTCTCCGTCGGACGAGTGTCTTTGACCATGCTCTTGGTGAACAGAAGACCTTCACGAGGCTGGCTGATTTTTACCAGATTAGCTGATCCAAGAATCTTTGCCATCCCAGGTATATTGTCCGCCATCTCAAGAAGCTCAATCTCTGAAAGCCCATCGCATATTCTCCACGAGAATTTGACCACGCAGCTGAGGGTTCTGTCTTTATAGCAACTTGTTCCCCTACAAAGGTATGCCTTCTGTTGAGAGATTGGGTTGGGATCCAAGGTGAACTTCCGTATTTCCTTCGACCCGGGCACCTCGAGATGAACTATCATATCTTCACCTTCGTATTTGACGTTGGGGTCAAGACCAAGTTCCTCATCGTTCATCAGCATGTATGTCACCAAGACATGCACGAGCTTCTCTGGTGATTTGCCAATATCAATGTATGAACAAGAATACGGTCCCGATCGGTCGTATACCCAAAGTTGCAGGTCTTTCTCGAAGAGGATGAACCCGTGCACGAATCGACGAAGTGGCTGAGCCATGAACACTTCCCGCATGTATACACTGAGCTGAAGAAACGTTTGCCGGGAAACCTTGGATGAAGATACCGTAAGTTCACCTACCACAAGAATATCACGCCAATGATGCCTGTCCTCAGTCGGAAGGTTTCGACTTTTGATGAAGTAATCTACCTGTCGCTTTGTCTGGTTTCCAATAACTTTTCCGGCTGCGAGATTATGAAATTGAGCCCCAGTGAAAGCTAATCCAACCCGTTCTTCTGCGGTAATTGTAGCGTCATTTGCTGCCGAGTCAGAGGAGTTTCGATAGGCTTTGATTAGGACATGTTCGATAACCTGCATCCATTTCCATACCGCATATTCAGTCGGGACAGCGGGAAACTGGAACTTGGGCTCTGCCGAGAGCTCTGCAAATTTCTTGGCAAGGCCGTCACGCTCGACCTTTATCCGTTTCGACTCAAAGTATTTGTCCCAAAAGCCGATCACGTTCACAAAAACCGAGCCTTCCAACTCTCCGCTCAAAGCTTGCTTCAGATCCTCCATGTTCATTTGTGCCCCGTCAGATGATTCTACTACTCGTCGGTAAATGGATTCAGTAGCTAGTTCTTCGAGCTGATCTTCTGTAGCTGACATGATCTTTTCGAGTTCATCGACAAGCCGCATAAGTGAATTCCAAATTTCAAGGTCAGTCGCATGGTTCAGAATTAAATTTGCTACCGGTTCGAATGGGGTCATATCAAACGATATAGATCTCATCCAGCTACCTATTGTATTCAGCCGCGAGAGAAGCTTTTTAACTTTAGTGGGTATATCGAAACTGTCTTGCACATAGACACTTAACATTATAATGAGGTCTTCAAGGGGATCCCGACATTCGTTTACGTTTTTGGGTTTTCCGAATACGCCATCGCATGAATCGTTAAAATTTAATCTGTATGAGCTCCGGAATAATCTCAATACTTTCCCGGGAGGTTTCTTGGCAAGATGTGCTGCAATATCCATGTTAAGAGACATAATTTAATCGCAGTGTGAGGAGTGGCTTGCGTATCGAAATACCGGCAGGAAAAGATGGATAGGTGAAGAGTATGACTGATGAAGAATGATTAAAGCTGGTGAGAGGGGAGAATTGACAGTTTTATACATCGTGAGCTCTCGTACTAGTAGCGTGTCTAGACGATCTGTCCATGTATATTTGATGTTCAACTATATACAGTTTTAGCATTATCCACACGAAATACATGTCAATAAGGTAAGACTATGATGGCGTAGAGTCCAATCAGACAGCTAAAGGGGTTTTTACCGAGTTGGTTTCCTCCCTAGTAAATATTATAGCTGGATATACCTGCATGAGCCCACAGGGCGCGTAATCGGGCTAAATGTAATCAAATTGAGATTCAGAAGCACAAGTCATGGTTTTTCTATTATCCCTACCATGGATCAACCTCGGTGAACCCTTTTTAGATTGAACGACTGGTAGCGGAATCCTTGCAATAAAAGTCCCACTCCAACAAACGATAAAGGTTCATCGATAGCCAATGCATGTCAGCCTTAGCGGCAAATATTAAGGATATAATTTTTGTTGGTAGATCACAATCTCCAATATTATTATTTCATTTTTTGTCCTATCTGAGTCTATGACAGTGTAGGACATGTATCATGTGTTAGAATTCGTGGGCCAGTATTTAGCAAAAATTTGTTTTGGGGTACAAATGTTGCCACCGATCAGCCTTCTTCTGCGGAAGTCACTTGTCATGTTAGGGGCTGTGGGGGACAATTCTCAACACCTGTCGGTGGTGTCCCATACGAACCTCCAGCTCACTATAAACACCGCTATGGCTGGTTGGTGCGGTGGTACATCGTCTTGGCTGGTCTGCCAAGTAGAGTCTGGATAACTTGGACTCATATCCCATGCGAGACAGTAGATCGCTGGTTTAAATCCAGCAAAATACAACCACATTTCTCGCGGCGCTGGTATCCATGGATGACGAAGGCATGCTTGGATAACCAAAGGTTTTTAAAATTCCCTTTGGTGGGTACTTACGGAGGAGGATCGACTGTTTGTGTAAGCAAGCATAACTCATAGTGGTATTTGCAAATGAAATCCAGAGTATGAGTGTTTCTAACGTCAAAAGAGTCATCCCATGTGTATACATAGCACTGGTCGTGTGTCATAGCTCTATAGCTAAATGCACGTTAAATAATTTTTAAAAATAAAAAAGAAGAGCCTCCAGCTCTTACTGTAGAGTCTGCAGAGCCGAGATTGCGTAACAAAGCCCTCACTTCGATGAGGATGCCTGTTGTTAAAAATAGGAGTGATCAGTTTTTTATTTTAGTAGTATGCTTTATTGTTGGTGTGAATGGTATATCTCTACATCTCTCTCTCTAGTTTTACAATCTACTTGTCTCGGGTATATGCTGACTAATCATATAGCTAATCCTAAGTGGGAAACATCCGAGAGCAAACGCCACTAACCTCGTCCAATAAAAACAACTTCAAAGCCAACATTCTGACAATGCCCAATCGCTTTCAATGTCCGTATCGTCTTCATCTCTCAACACAACCCCCTCTCACCATTACCGTCTCTATCATGAAGCTAGACACGATCAGATCAGATGGTAGAGTTGAAGCCCTTCTCATCACCAACCCTTAGTCATTGAGGAGAAGCCATCCGATGAGTTTCCAGATCCTACCCAGCATCCGATACGGAGATGGTGGAATGGATTAAGTCGGCCTCAACTGTTACAAAGAAGGGAGATATAGATGAATATGCACACCTCATGTGGTCCCGGTGTCTAGACCTCGCCTGGCTGGGGCCACAGTTTTTTAGAGACTTTTTCCCGCGCACGCAGTTTCCATTGCTACCATTTTTATTTTCATTTAAATCCTTGGGTAGTAGGTTCGGTGAAAAAGTTGGCTCAATACCATGGGTAAATACTGAGCTGAATAGCTATCCACCACGTTCAATATATCAGAGATCTTCCAATCAACAAAAGAAGATAGGAGCTCTGTACAAGGTGTGGCCTGAGCCAGAATAGAATGCACTGTGCCGGATAATCTATGACTCAAGTAGTACATTAAACACACACACACCCTCCTATAATTTTTTGAAATTCGAATTTTCGAATCTTCCCTTTTTCACCCTCTCCCACTTGTCGCATTCTCTCAATATATTGTAAACGAGTCGCTGGCATTGTAATTATGCCACTTGTTCGAAAATTGCTCCCAAACGCAATGTTGGACAATGCGAGAGTCCGCCCGAGGGCTCCCGCAAAAACACCTGGCCTTGCCCAGTCTTCGAAATACGCGGAGATGGGTCAGGCCTTCACGAACGGGAAGGAAAATGTTTTAATAGCGAGGATATGAGAAGTCTAATAATTGTCGCTTTGGATGTAGCAGTCAAGGTGAGTAAATGTAGGATAGCACTGAGTCTAATGTAAAGAAGAAGAATATAGATAGTATATTTGTTTTATTAATGACCATGTATAAAGAGTAAGAGTGAACCGTTACTTTAGACAAAGATGTCTCACAGCGAGTATTTATATACATATACCGTGCACAGAATATACATGACAGTAACCTCTCCCGATGATCAATGACGATGTTATTGAATATATCTACGTCATATTATCACGCAAAGCTAAGTTATTGGTATTGTCATCGCTGCGTGCTGATGATGTACGTTACCAATGACGCAGACTTGGATAAAATCTTGTCGAAGATACCCACGTAATACCGATCATTATTGTCATCGCGTTTCTGTATTTGCAATGCTAGTCATTATTATGGAAGATAGCCAAGTGGGCAACGAAAAGTCCAGAGGAGCGGACCAGACTTCCCCAAATACCTGATTTGAAGGATAAGGAACGAAAACCTTATACCAAGGACACTGATAAAGCGCAGAAAATGGCCCGCCATTTCTTCCCCGACCCATTCTGGCAGTCCTGGCAGATATTGAGGGAGCAACTTACCCACCAGAGCTCGACAATATTCCTAATACTATCGCCGAAGAAGAGATACTCGAAGTAATCGACTTTAAACTTGATCGTCGACTTTGTTTATTGGTCTGTTATCACAGACACGGAAATAGATTCATAAGATTGCTTTATGAGAGGCTAGTATTAATTCTGATATCATTTGGTTGAAGACTTGTCCTCAAATTTAGAGGCTACAATGTCTTTATATATCTACGTATTTACCCCCATATTCACCATATCCGCTAGCCATTCTATATCTAGCGTGCATAGCCTGATTTATCTCATGGTTCTGGGATGGAGATGTAGTTTCCGAATAACAGTATTCTTTTAGCTACTACAATACGTAGCAGCTTCAGATATAGTTTACCGTGCGATACTTCCACCTTAGCTACATGTCTCCTTGATATACTGCCGGCTCGGTAATCAGTGAGATAACCGAAGCTAAACCTTAACAATAACCTTAATTACGAGACCATGAATACCTAAGACAGAAGCCTGCAATCTAACACAATTAGGTTAGGAATTGCCAACTACAACCTAATCCAAACACGAAGCCATAGGAAAACTAGCCAATGGAAAGGCTCCGGGACCAGACGGCATCCTAAACTGGATGCTCAAAAACTGCAGAAAGACACTTACTAATGACCTAGGAAAATTATTCAATGCCTGCGTCTCAAAATGCTACCATCCCAAAGGCTTTAAAGAATCTGTGACGATTGTGCTACGAAAGCCACAAAAGGAATCGTACGACAATCCCAAGGCCTACCGACCGATCGCCCTCTTGAATACCATGGGAAAGCTTCTCGAAAAGCTCATTGCTAACAGGATATCGAAAGCAGCCGAAAGCCACCACCTACTCCCAGACGAACAGATGGGTGCAAGGCCATTGAGGTCCACTCTGTCTGCAGTTGAACTCCTTACCGAACAGATCAACACAATCTGGGGTAGGAACAAGAAGAGAGAAGCTTCTCTCCTCAGTGTAGATATTGTTAGATATTGTCAAGGATTTCTAGGAGGAAATATCTCGAAGAACAAGTGTACAATTTCGGACAAGAATATATTGATGGTTGTATAGGATATCGAATTCTCTTCTCAAAATGAATTAATAAGATATAATATTTCGATTACTTAGTTTAACATATACAAATAAGCCAATCCTTAAATACAGATTCCCGAGGCTTTAGTGATCCCGAACTCCCAGTGATCTAGCTACAACTAGCCACTCAATTACCGCATGGTATCATTTCCTAGCCACTGCATTTCAGATACTACTGAACCTCGTTTCCCCTAGCTGAGCTTAATCGTATGCAATAGAAACAGGTAAATTGATCTTGATGATCAAACTAGAAATCTAAACCTTCATACATACGAAGTCTAGATTTCCAACAGATATATCTAGCGCGTTCGATAACGTCTCTAATGAAAGACTTATCCATAACATGAGGGCTAAAAAAATTCCTAGGTGGATCACGCAGTTTGTAGAGTTTTTCCAGAAGACAGAACTACAACCATGAACCTCGGCTCATTTCAAGGAGACCAGTTTGTGACTTGTACAGGAATCCCTCAAGGGTCCTCCCTGTCGCCAATTCTGTTCCTATTCTTTATAGGCACCTTGCTTCCGGAACTTCAGTCGACAAATTCCACAGCTGTGGGATTTGTTGACGACACGAATATACTAACATGGTCAAACTCCACAGAAGAAAACGTTAGAAAACTCGAGGAGCTTCATGGCTCATGCGAATAGTGGGCTAAAAAACATGGAGTCAAATTTGCGCCGGAGAAGTATCAGCTATCGCACTTCTCTAGGGCTCGAACAAGACACAATATGAAATCGACTATCCAAATACAAGTCCATCTAGTAAGACATCAAACTTCTCTCCGAATCCTAGGTATCTACTTAGATCCAAAGCTGAACTGGAATAATCACATCAAAATTACACAGACTAAAGCAGAATCGCAGTTGGTAGCACTAAGTAGATTGACACAGTCGACATGGGGAGCATCTTTCCACAAATCACTGCAAGTATATAACGCTATAGTCCGACCAGCCTTCACCTGTGGCTCACCAATTTGGGCAGAGGCTGGACCCAATAGCAAAATCCCGGAGAGAATAATTAAGCCTCTGCGAACTATCCAAAGAAAATGTCTAAAACTTGTAACAGGAGCATACAAATCAATAAGCTTTAGGATACTAGAGCATGAAACCTCAAACCCGTGAATAGATATATACCTCAAGCATAGACGGCTCCAATATATCGGGATATCATGAAAATTGCCGGTTCATGGGTGTTACAGTTTGACCGATGTCTGAGCTTATGTGGATACCTAAGCGTATTGTTGAGGATTCATTTTGTAAGACTTTAAGGAAATGATAAAGGAAACTGGAAGATACGGAACTACTAGCCAAGGGGCCAGATCAGTGTCACAGCGTAGTGATTCTTGATAATGTGTGGCTGGGTGGCAAGTATTCGGCCTAGGGTGAAGAAATCAGTCAAGACAATCACTGAGGGGCTGAATGTTATAAATACCCGTTAGTTGTAGCTAGATTTCTCTTTCTTGTTTATACAGTTTATTAAATCGGCTTTATCATCACCAACTCGGGTTTCCCGTCACAATGGGACAAATTTTTCAGTATGAGGGAAAAGCAAACCCCAAAGGACCAGAATACAAGATATCCGTGACGGTACAAAAGCCAAGGAATTCTCTGCCTGGGAAACGAATTGTGGGAAGAGCGACACCAAATACTGACAGAAAGCGGCTGGAAAGGTCGCAGATTTTATGGAATAGGAAAAATCCTGGAATAAACTGTCCGCTAAGCAGTCTACTAACCATCAAGCGACGGCATATCCCAAAATCTGGATGGCAGCCAACATTATCATGGACAAAAAGACCAGGGAGACAAGAATGAACTACAGAGGAACACCTATCAGTATCCACAAAAACCTTAACAGGGCTCAAAGTAGCATAGCCATGCAGATAAGAAGTGAGCACATTAGCTTAACTCTTATCTGAACAGAAGACATGTTCCCGGAGTAGACAGCCCACGATACCAATGTGGATATCTGTCCCATAACGTCAAGCATATGATCATGGCTTACTCCAACTGGACCAAAGGGAGAGGGGAGATACTGAGAGAGGGAGAGAATCGGTCATTCGAAGCGATGATGAATAAGCCGAAAGACATGGCAAGAATTACAAAGTGGACTCAACATGGAGGGAGATTGGAGCAGTTTCGACAAAGGTTTGGGCACCAGTGGTTCGGTCTTGAGCTCTCAGTCGCGTTTTCGACCTCCACGGTTAGAGGTACGGCAGCGACGGGGCAAGGCCGAAGGGGTGGTCATTCTACAAAGTTTCTGGGATGACGAGATTGGCTGAAGGACAGAGAGATGCTGCATGAAGGAACCAAAAGGGAATACAAACTGAGGAGGCCTTGGTGGGCGACTGGATGAGGCCTCCAGTGAAGAAAACGACCCCTGGATGAGATTAGGAGATGCTGAGGTGAGCTAAAGCTGGGAATGGTTTGGTTTGGTTTATTATTTTACGTCTATCTAAAATAAATCCTAAGTAGGACATAAGACGCCAAAGCTTACTGCCCTGGATACCTGAGGCCTTTGACTGTCCAAACCTGAATTTCCAAAGCCTTTAGTTTTTCTGGGCAAAGGGTTATAGAAGGGTTATCCTTAAAGCTGGGAATGAATGGAAGGGAAAAGTTACAGACCGCGAAGGTGTCAAGGGCTCGGACGCGTGGTGGCCGAGGCTGAGGAGGAATTTGCGCTTCGGCGCGCGAAAAGGGGGTTCTCTGGATATTTGGGCTTGACATGATTCAACACATGGGTGAAATCTGAGGTGGTTCAGTCATTCAGGCGGGACGAGGTAGATGTACTTAATGGTAGTTAACCTGATCCAGCCCGGCCCCACCCGTGCTTAAGCTCTAGGAGGAGTGCAACGGTAGTCACTTTATCTAGCACGTAAATGAACAAACCAAACCAAACCCTCCCTCTTCCACCATATTATCTACTTTTTGATATAAAGAAAACCCTTGACAAGCAAACTGTAATTAATCAGTTTGTCGATTTCTATCTCCCCCATCCCTACGCCCAGAAAGACAGCCAGTTGGTGGAAGATATCTTAGAGGCGAAAGTTTCCCCACATTTGTGGCGAATAAAATTGCAAGTGTTTATGGTGATAAATTTTGAAATTCTTCTCTTGCCAGTGTTTAGAGTGGTTGTGCCACGCTCTCGCAAACTGAGACCAGTCTAAGGACAAGTCTCGCAATATACTTTGTCGACTGTCCTTTGGCTGGATAGTGCCGTGGTATAGACCCACCACTCCTTTGTCGCGCTGAGCAACTCTAGCTCCAAATCTAGTGTGACTAGATGGTCACTGCGTTTTCCTCAAGCAGAATCGGCCATGTATGCAGTGAGGGCAGCCTATGCTCTTACAAACTTTCTACTCGGCGGTTCCGGAGTTTAGGGAATCTGGGCAACGATGCAGAGTTGTGGCCCACATTGAAGTAGCTCGCTATTTCTAGGGGTCTCAAACATATCCCTAGTGGGATATCTTTAGAATTCGGGGAGGGAGACGGCTGTCTCTTGTTTCATGACATCCTGGGCCCAACAAACTTGGAGAATCCGGGCTGCAAAATTTTACCAAGCCCAGTTAGTCAGCCCTCTCAGCTTAGTATTTATCAGAAGAATTTCAATTCCGTTTTTTCTGCAATACCACGCTTGATTTTTCTTTACCCCAGTACTACACGAGCCGAAAGCGGCTCGTAGTGACAAAATGTAGTGACCTTTTGTATCGAGTGGGCTACGTGTCCAAGTCATGGGACTCTACTTACAAATCAAAACTAGACGGTATATCGCCACTCCACATTGGCTCTAAACTTATACTGTCTTGTGTAGAGACTAAGATGCTTCGTACTTTATTCATACTATTGTTATCACTTGATTCTGTATATGTAGTTTAGCTGTAACATATTGTAATATATGCCTTAGGCAGTAATATACCTGTAGTCCAGTCTACCAGCAAGGACCCAATCACTAGAGATTGGGTGAAGTAAGAATCAACCATCGTTTTTCACCTAGTCCACCTATTCAGATATGAATAATTGACCCAACACATACTCTATCCTTATCACTACGCAACTCAACGTTATGCATAGTCACAGGCGTACGGGAAATTAAACATCACTGTCCTTCAATCGAAGTGTTTATCTGAAGGACCAAGTCAACTACAAGCGAACGCTATTTAGAGTTGGTATGAGCCGCTCTAATGTCTAATACTTAGGGCGGTATATATATTGGTCAGTTTGTGGTCTCAAAATCACTGTGAGCTGGGGTGTGGAAGATCGAAACCGCTTTGGTCAAACTGCTCGAGAAGGCTCTCCAGGCCTCCTCGGCTCCATATATTAAATTTCGAGAAGCGCCCCGACAGAATTTGTGTACTAGCTCCTTGTAACCTTTCCTTTGAGGTAAAACGTCCGTCTAAATGAAGAGGAGGCATCAATAAGGGTATTATGAAAGTAGACCTGTTCAACGCCATTTGCTACCCAAAATGACCCACTATGAATATTATAAACATTACACTAACAAAAATAGAAATTAGTGACCAACAGTCAGGGAAATTTCCAATTATTTGAGCCCAGGGTATGAATCCACTCATGGCCTTTAAATACTTAGCGGTGAACCTATGAAGTGAGACGTTGACTCGTGTGAGTGAAGACTCAATTACGTGTCAGTATGTGTAGATTTTTGGGTGCTGATTGCCCAATGTTTGGAGCAAATTCAAAATTATGGCAGCCTCGCTCGTGCCTTTTCATATTACTTCGCACACTGAACGCTTTGCCACACCCTTGGTGAGGGCACTTAAATGGCTTCTCTCCCGTATGGGAATGAGAGTGGATACGTAAACTAGATGGGCGCGAGAAGGCTTTGTTGCAAATTTGACAAACATACCGATCGTGAGACTGGGGAAATGAAGCTGCAGAGGAAGGAGATATATAATGGTGGTGTTGCCATAAGTTGGCCGTCGAAGGTGGGCTGAGTGGTACGCTCATTGATAACAAAGAGGGTGAAAATTGCTTGGTACGGTTTAGAATAGTATCAAGAAGGTTTAGTTGAGCTAGCTTACTTGAGGAAGGGGTCTCTGATAAAGACTTGGAACATGGGCTTGAGAAGCCGTCGTAGGTTGTATCGATGCAAAATGAGTAGAATTAATTGGTTGTGATGTTGACCTTAGATACAATCCATTATTACTACTAGCAGACTGGGAATAATTGCGGGTTGGTACCGGCGTAGAATTTGCCGCCTCGTGTGATAGCGTATGTTGATGCTGACTACGTGAGACGGTTAAATTATTCGCGGAGATTGCACGTGGGGTATCGGGGGCAAAGTAATATCCGGGTACCGAAGATATGGAGTTCCCCGAATTAGACAAAGCTGAAGGCGAGGATTGCCGGCCGTTGAAACTAGATTCAGAATGCATGGGTGGAGTCGGAGGCAGAATTGTAGAAGGTTTCATGGCAGGAGAATGGTTATATAGCTGTTGCCCAAATTCAAAGTAGTCACTTCGTTGCGCTATACCTGCAGTTGATTAGAGTCAGTTTATTTTATGCAATGGTGTTTTATACTAACCATGCCTTTTCACATGGTGAATTGACTCCTGAGTACTTGGAAGATCTGCTAATCCGAAGAGGCTGGATATTGACGGCAAAGAGCATTTCGACGTCTCATCAGCAGGTGGAGAGGGTGGTGGTTGGGGTGCATTGATACACGCGTAGCTCTGTTTGTCATTTAATTGCAGCAATTTTGGTGGTTGTAATATTAGAGGTGACGTGACGTGATGCGACCTGGGAAGTTGTTGATGATACTGCTGTTCATCTGGTGTGATCGCACCATGAACTAGGCTGGAGAGGTTCATGATCGTTTTTGTGGAGATAGTCGTATTAGTAGAAGGTTAAGGAGCGTAAGCGCAAGCTCGATATCTAAGGAGGCGAAGTCGAAGATGCGATGTTGTTTATGGTCTTTAATTATAACATTGAGTATTAATATTCGGCTATTTCCCCCAGGGTTCCGTGGATTTGTGACAATTATCCCAATGCGAAGTTGGGTTTAGTGGAAAGAGTGAGAGGAAGAGAGTATTTATTAGATCTCCCAAGAATAATTGTCGGAAGATCAAAGGGATCCTGGGATATTAGCCTCAAGGATACAAGTAACAATATTGTCACAAATTGAAGTGGGTCGACCAGCTCTGAGGATGGGTTTAGATGGCTTCATGGCTTATGGACTTATGTGGTAATAAGTAATGCTGGGTTAATAGACTGAGTTTGGGATATTTCCGCTGGGCTAAGCCTTGGAATACACACTGACTCCTGTCACTAATGCGAGTGGGGTCATCATGGCGCCGCGCCGGTTAATAGACCTAATGAAGAATTGCTTGGATAGCGGGGCAGATGCCATGGAAGCTATGAACGACCAAAGCTCTGTATTCGTCGTCGTTGATTTCGTGAGAGAAGCACCCATACCCCCATAGGAAAGGAGTGAGGGGTATGGCGTCTGGGCAGGCAGGAGCAAAGAGGGGCGCAGAGGAAGAGGTCGGGTATGTCAGATGCACTGGTGGGACCGTTGAGCCTATTGTCGGCTTCTGTCATCTTCAGAGGATGCCTATGGCGTCCTTCGGGATCCAGGCGATAACATCGGCGTCCAGGATTAATGCTTGTCATACAGAAATATTCGGACTTTTCACGATTTTGAGACGAACTTTTCTAGGTCATTCCTCCATTGAGTTCCGTGCGAGTAGTTTGTGGGGCCTATGATATGCTTCGGGTCTTCTCCGATCAGTAATGTCCTCCAATGATGTGTGATCTATTGTGCAATCTAACATCTACCTGCTTGGCAGATTTCCCCCACCTCTAGGATGGTATTTGATTGCTGAGCCGGGGCTGCACCTCAGACCATGGTAAGTTTTTTGGATGCTGATTCAAGGCGTCAGTAACCACGCCTAAAGTCATGGTTAGGTTTGGTCTCACCAACAGCCGACTGAGGTAATGAGGACGAGTCGAGTTCAGGGCCGAATCATCATTGGTGATTAATTTGTAAGCTGTGCTTCACCTACGACAAGGCGTCGGTGGCATGAGGAGGAGGGGTGCAGTTTAAAAGTCGCACACTTGTCAACAAAGGATCTCAGCATCGAGATGATCAAGATAAATTTGCAGTTTTTATTTTTCGACTCGTAATGGCGGGAGATCTACCGTGATTAATGATGCGGTCGGTGATGTGGGAATGAAAGATAATAGTCTAGGGTCAAGCATACGCGCTCAAATTGAATGGGGTGGATTTCGAAGGTGCGTGCGGCGGCAAGACAGAAGTTTAGAAGAGCTATAAATAACACGCTCTATATGTCACGAGTCAAGATTTACTAGGCCGGCCACAGAGGCCGATGTGCCGTGGCCGTTGGCAGAATCCAAGTGTTGAAGATCATCGGAACAATCCTAGCACGGCTTAAGACTAAGCGTGCGCATCAGTGCTATTGAAGTCATGTAGGGTCAACATCTCCTACGACTGATGGTTCATCTAAGATATTCTAAGCCTCCTGTTTCCACAGAGTTAGAGTTAATTGGAGTTTCTAGAAGCGCATCAAATTACTCAATCTCCTCGCACGTAGCTTCTATCAAGGAAGCCCAGCAAGGTAGTTATCTCGTGGTGAAAAAAGAAGACGGATAAACTTTAACGTGGCTCGGCCAGAAAAGGGTAAAGCAGCTGTTTCGGGTAGACCGAATCAACCAGGAGCAACGTATTGGACTTCAGTGAGGAATCCAATTATCAGGCCTGTGCAAACCTTTCCTCGATGGAGGATACTTGATGCCACTAGTATGGCCTTGAGTTGTTGGTTAGAGGGACTCTTTGCTATAGATGATCCACTCTTTTCCGCCGCCGCCTACATACGGCTTATGGCATTGCGCTAGCAGTCCAACTGATCTCCGGATGCGTTATTGTGTTGCAGCCTATGAGTTCACCAACCGGTGAAATATGGGGATCCTTCATCCTGACATTCTGGCACCCTCAACCGTGGAAGCTACATCCTAGGGGATTTTGGAAGGATAAACTCTTACTATAGATGCACGAACTGAACATCTGACTCACGAGGCCTGATTCTTTACGGGAGGGTGCGTGCCGGTACCTGATCTTTTGCTTCATCCCAAACATGTTCCACCAATTCTATACTTGGAGCCGTGGAATGAGGAGCAGAATCTACCAGTTAACTTCTCGAAATACGAGACCAGACTTTGCCGTATTAGCTTGTTAGACACTTCCCTCCCGGACAGGTGGCTCTTGAAGTCAAGGGACCACATATTCCAGAACCCTTCCATAGCCTATACTGAGATACTTACGAATTTGTAGTGTATGGGACGCACAAGGTCACAAAAATCTCTCAATCTATTCACCTTGGATGTTTTGGGTCGCAGTTCATGTAAGGCGCTTCGAGTATTTCGACGTAGCATGAGGCACACTGAGAATAGAGCCTCTCCTACTTCTCATATAGTTAGACATACTATGCTAAAGCTAAGGAACTAGTCCATCTATACGCAGAGGTTTCGAGAGTACTTTCATTGGATAATTAGATTACTCTCTCGACATGCAGAAAAAAAGTCGTCTTCCTACCTTAATTACTTTCCTTACGTTATTGAAATTTCACACCTCACCCCAAGCCTTCAACCATTTTTCAGCCTCTCACGCGTTTAACCATTCCAAACCCAACATTTATTTTCCTTTAAAGCACGTTTAGGGATAAGGAGAAGTATACGTCATGATAGGTCGTGTCTGGTCTGTACGAGTGTATTATGTCTGTCAACCCAAGACTTTGACCTGGAGCGTGCAGAGGATTGTCGATCCCAGTAACAGGCCGTGTCCTTCTGGCTCGTCGATCTTTCTGCTATCCGAGATTAGCCTTGGTCACATGATGTACCCCGTGACTTATATTATGGCGATTATGTCAACATTGCTTTAGCCCCTGCAGTTATCTCCTAATCCCTGCTCGGGCAGATGCAGGGCTCTGACACGCTCACCCTAAACTATCAATTAATAAAGATCGACGGCATCAAGTATCTGCATCTAGACCATATCACGTGAGATTGATCCGAGCTTGGCAGAAATCCTACTGGACACTTGATTTAGCAGTTAACCATTCTACAGCTAAAACCTGTGCAATAGCGATATTTAGCCTTCAGCTGCCTCGTGATCTGATTTATAGCAGAAATTTGATTGTTGGAAGTTTTCGGGAAAATATAACGGGCATATCCTATTCAATATCAGAGAAAAAAGGCCACAGCTGGACGAACATAAGTGACATCGGTTTGCCAGTCCGTCATTTTTCTGAATTATGAGAACAAGCAGGATACCTACAGGTGGTGAAGTGCTGAGTCCCCAACCGGTCCGGCTACAGGTTGAAGCCCAGAGGTCGCCTGGGATTTAGACGATAGATAGCAGCTGTGAGCTGATCAAAGTTTCCGAGCGCCCCTAATCTTAGGATGGTTACATCTAGTGATGCCCCGTTTCCAAGATTCGCGATGGACATTGCTAAGGTAGATAGCGAGAGAGGCTATCCAGGAGGAGATATCATGGTTGTGAAACCTTGATGTGCTGGAGTCGATTGATTTCGCACTGCCATCTTGTATAGTCGATGCTACGAAGAAGTGATTGATTCCTTCGCGTTGAAGTGCAACCTAGGCTGTCTTGCATGGACATTGTGAGACCCCACACATTCACACAAACGAATGATTTAGACTTGGTGTATTTTGGCTAGCCCGAAATTAAATTGGCCTGAGACCTGTCGCCATCACAAAGACAAGTCGCCGATCGAATTCATTCTCGCTATGGCTCCATATCTGCTTCATGTCTTCTCGAATCGTATGGCATTGGGATACATCTTGTGCAATCTACCACACGCTTTACGCTTTACCTAGCCGAGAATGACTATCTCCCATCACACCGATATTATCATAACCGGTTCAGATTGAATTTCAATCACTCCACCTTGCGGGCCGTCCAGACCGAAGGAGCGCGCTGTGTTGACAACAGCTAGTAATCACATCAAGGTCCCTGACCTACGTACATGAAGGGACAGCGGAACGTTGGTTTGCTTATCCGTAGCGCCCCAAGAGGCGGGGGGACTGCCCTTGACAGTGCCGTTCATCATTTAATCCTTCTAATCTCAAGCATGGCGTGTGCCACTCCCTGCCGTACCACTATGTGCATCTCTCGGAGCGTCAATCGTGGAGTAGTATGGGATACGTTACTTGAAGGTAAATTGCAAAGCAGTCTTCCTGCACAGCACAAGAAATTGGCTAATTTTCTCCAGTGCAGTGTGAATCTTCCTTGTCTCCCTCACTACATGACTCTTATTTACTTGTAACAACTTCAGAATTTAGTTTTTCGGACTCCAGGCTCGCCTCCGAATCGATACGCTTCAACTATAGCACAAGATGAGTGAATCGATTTTTCGCATCGCAGTCTAAGACGTCAGCACTCATGGTGGGCTGCTGAATGACCTCAATTTTTTCCATGCTAAAATCAGGACCTATTGGAAATTCGCGGTTGAGTAATGCGAAACGCAACTCGCTGGACATCTTATTTTGCTGGCCATAGCATACAGCTTGAGCATAGTGAATCGCCGTCATCTCCCTTACTCTCCTCATTTAATCTTCTACTTTCGACTCTCCGGGTGCGACTTTTCCAGCCGTTTCGTTATTCGCTAGCCCTTTCGCAAGAGCAAATTCCTGATCAGCGAGGGTAGCAAGGGTATTCCAGACAACAAGGGGCTGTTTTGGGCCGATCAAGCCGCCGGAGTATCCACGCTACTTAAAAATATCACGTTGGCACAGCGTCAAAATGTAGAATGTGGAGAGTTCGCAACATCATTGG